GGTTCTTTCGACCTGTGCTTCGAGTTTTATCAGACCTATTGAAGGGAGTATCGAGATTGGCTTGATGCCTTCATAAGCGAGGGTCGTCCTCTTAATTTACTTTGACCATTCAACTATTTGAGAAAATCTCTTTGATTTAGTCCAGTTAAACATATCAAGTAGGGTAGACTTAGAGCTAGGCAATTGTTTTTATCAGATTGACGAAGCAAAAGCTCTTTCATTGCAATATTTTTTATGATTTGTTGAGTCAGAAGAGCAATTAGCAAATCAGTCACACTTAAGCTTGTTCAGTCCTCTAAGACTTTTGAATCCTAGCTAGAGCTACGGGACGTGTGCTTCTCTGATTTGATTTATTGAAGTTTGCAAACTCAGATTATTCTTTCTTAACTTTAGAGATCTTATAACTTGCATGCTTTGAAATGTTTTCACCTGATTGCAAAAAGATTTCCTAAATGAGCATCATCTTCTTATCTTTACCAGAATTCACTGACCAGTTAAACAATCTCATGGACTTGGATCGCTTGAACTTGTCAAGTTAGATATGCTTGGTATGAGATTGTTGCAGTCACCAAAATAATGAGACAAGGGCTCCTTCACTATGACCTTTCTTATAGCTTATTGAGCGAGCATAGTAATTGACAACAAGTTCACATCTTGGCTTATTGAATTTGACCTCTAAAACCCGCTCGAGCTCTAAACTTGAGCTATGAATACACCTTTGCATTTTTTTTTGGACTAAAAGAATGGAGGCTCATTTACTATGGTCTTTCTTATGATTTGCTGAGTGAGAAGAGCAATTACTAACTCAGCCATATTTGAGTTTATTGAGTCCAAACTCTGGAATCCACTCCATTTTTAACTTGAGCAAAAGAGAAATTAGATAGCTTTTCAAACATGATTTGTTGAAGCTTGCAGATTCAAAGGTTTTCTCACTTGGAACATCAAAATAGTAGTGATTTTAGAAAAAGAAACTCCTAATTTTAACTTTATCTCGTATTTATCTTCTAGAAGACTATTTTGTTTCTTGGCATGAATGGTTGAATGCAACTTTAACACGAATGATATAAACAATCATTTGGGGATCTCAACTCGACACACGGTGTCACTAAAGTAGCTCAACCTCTCTCAAATAAATAGAAAGTTGCAGTATCCGACATTATCAAAGAACTCAAAGTTAAGCATGATGTTGACCCAAACGTTTGGGGAACTCAGCGTTAGGCGTGATCTACACTTGAACGATTGGCCTCCCCTGTTTAAGAAAAGGGAAGTTATAATATTTGGCGTATTTAGGGATCTTGGGTTTAAGCCCAATGTCGACTTAAAAAATTGGGGTACTATGTGTTAAATGCAGTGTCAACACAATTGGACTACTTATTTGAGAAAAAAGAAGTTATGGTATTCAGTGTATTCAAGGATATCAACATTAAACATTGTAATATCCAATTTGGACTAAATAGGTAAAAATTTAATCTTTTTAAAATATAACTCATTTTTGCATCCCTCGAAAGAGACTCAAAATATTTTTATAAAATTCTACACATTTCAAAGAACAATTATATATATATATATATATACATATATATATATGAACAAAATGAGGCTAATATATTAAAAAGTAGGATACAGATAGATTCTGTGGGAGGACCCAAACATGACACCCTGCCCACACGATAACCACCACATCAAATGATTCCAAAAAGAGAAAATACAGCAAAATACATGAGAGACCTAAAGAAAAAACAAAAAAATGTCAAAATACGGAATATCAGGTAGCTAGAGAGCGACACAATTTTGTCTTGTCTCTGTCTCTAGTTCTAGGGAAGGAGCCAGCTAATAAATTGGTAAAATGAGTGTCATTGTCAGTAGTAACCAATGCATCATCCAATAAATTCTCGAGCTCAAGTCGGCCTCTATTCTTCTTCTTACTCCTGGAATGGAACTGTCATTCCTCACTCGAAGATTGACTCACCTGATCAGTGGAATGGTCTAAAGTGAGTCGGACATGTGTAGACTGTGAAAATTAGAAGCAAATACTTGTTGTATCAACTGATTTTTTATCAGATCGAACGAGCACTCTTGTGTGTCTTGGCATGTAAATGAGTCTTTTTCAACAACGGTGAGTAGTATCAACACATTTGGATCTGTACCTGTAGTATGGTGTTCTTCATTTGGAACTGCGATGTTGGAAAGAGGATCGGGTTGCACCTTCTCATCAGGGATGGTAGGTGTTAATCTTTAGCGATATTCGGTCTTAGATGAGAATGCAAGCGATACCAAATAGTACAACTGTGGTCAGGCATACTACAATGAGAGCAATATGGAGAGTGTGATTCTATTTCAATCTTTTGTCAATACCCGTTGTGAGTAGTGTCAATCCATACCTCATCCGAAGCTGGTTGAGTGATATCTCTCTCAACTAACACACAAGCCACTAAGGATCGGGTGACAGCAAACGTAGAACTATCAACCATGAGACACTTACTATAAGCATTTGCTAAAGAATAGAGAATTTTCATGTTGAACAGATGTAATTTTAACCCCAGAAACTTTATCCAAACATGAACGATAGAGGACTCCACTTTTGGATCAGAATCGACAGTCCACTTCAGAATTTTCATAAAACGGTTGTCGATCTTGATAACTTTCGAGAGAAAATACATGTGTAATTGACATCGTGAGATAACTGAATAAGTATATGTCGACCGTCAAGTAGGTCAATATTCCAACTGCCCAATAGCTTCATAACATCAAACTCTTTTCGAATAATCTCCAGTTTTGGGTGACCATAAAGAAATTTCCCCACTAGAGCAAAACACCAAGAAGACGCAAGAGTACTGATTTCAACCTCAGTGAGAATAAGAGCAGGCTTTCCATTTTTTTTTGCCAAGCTTTTTAATAAAAGTGCAATCACCACCACCTTCAAGAGAGAGCGTCGTGGAAAGATTGAGGAACATTGCAGGACTTGCCAATATGAAAAAAATACTCTAAACCTAAAAGAGGAGCACGAGTATGAACAGGAAAGTCGTCGGCAAGTGCATTAGCATGGGAACGTATCGTCGAGGCCATATCAAATCCCGTAGTTGTCGGTGTCTCCTGCTGAGAGTGTGAAACAGTCGACGTCTCCTGCTGAGAGAGTCGAGAAGAAGACGAAGTTAACGTCGGGACGAAGCCGTAGAAGACAAGCCCCGATCGGCCCTACAGCTAGTCCTTCGGCGAGCAGGGAACACAAAGGCACAACTCGACGAAACAGCCGAAGACGACGGAAGACGAAACGGAGGAGCGAACTCCTTCGAGCGTGAAATTACCGTGGTAGAGGCTAGAATTTGTCGTGAGGGACATAAAAATTTTAAATGATAACTTAACTAAGCTTAATTAAATCCTTAATATATCATAATTAACATTCCTAATCTCGCATCACTGTGGCATCCCACTTTCCGCGATATGAAACAGCAGGATGGGGTTTTAATGGCTGAGATTAATCGAAAGGTAAATAAATTTATAAGAGGCTTCCTATTCTCTCATTCCCCGCTCTCGAATCCTCCTCCCCACAAAGTTTTCGCTCGGGTACAATAACAAAGAGCGGGCACGAATGACAGGGAGCCGGAACTCGCGGTTTGGATTTTTTGGAAGAAACCGGTAGGGAGAATCATCATGTCTATGCAACTTAAAACATTCCTCTCCTTCCTAGCAATCTCAAGCTAACTTTCATTTATTTGCAATTGAATTATTCATTAACCTAGATGCATGTTCATTTAATTATCTGAAATTGAAGTGTGTTTATTTTAATAGCAAAAAAAATGTTTAAAAGCACCAATTCAAGTTCCTTCCCCTTCTTGATGTGCCACCCACCCAACAAAACAGAAAAAAATTTAAATCTTTTTAAAACTACATTTAATTTTGGTCGAATTTTCTAGTTTTTAATTTGATAGATTTATTAGGCTCAAATTTTCCATTTAGATAATACTATGTTAAATTTGAAGTTTATTATAATTCGGGAGGATTCAATTTGAATTTAAATCTTTGGTATTATCTTTATATCCATATCTGTATAAATAGGGATTAACAGGTAATTTTCATTATTATTACTGACATTTGAATGAATAAAATTAATTATAGCCGATTGACTGCTCTGTAGTAGTGCATGCAAATCCCTTTAGATCCCCTCCACACCAGCCCCCACGCCGCCAAAACATGCCACCCAAACCCACCCCACCCCACCACACCCCCAAAACATGCCACCCAAACCCACCACACACGCACTATTACATTCTGATAGCATCATAGCTTAACTGCTCAAGGTTGTTGCAGATAAAATCAATACAAATGAGACCGAGGAGAACGCGAGGGAGTAGTGCTTAATATCATATACTTCATAAAAAAACCCTATAGTTTAAATGTCTACTGTCTTCTTCGCCTAACCATTCTTATGGAACCCTCTAGGATGGATGCCCTCACAGAAGAGATCATTCCACTAATGATTGAAGGATGAGTAAAAGAATTCGTCACGTAAGGACTTGCCAAACAACAATAACTAAGTAACATGCAAAAAAATAGAATATTGTAAAAGAAAAATTAACCAGAATAACCCAAAAAAACAGAATTCGATGTCAAGCTCAAAGAGATGTAACAGTGCAAGAATGGTAAATTTCACAATAACTCGTCATAACTAGATTTTTTTGGACAGAAACTACTGTGCCATGCATCATCTAGGTTCTAACATCCGATAATAACATAGCACCTTGATATATGTTAAGTATAGTATAAACGGGAACATGAACAAGTAATATGCAGCAATATGCAGTACATGTATGGCACTAGCCTTCATAATAGAAAACTGCAATTTTAACCAGCATACCTAATAAATGCAAAACAAATTTGAGAGTATAGTTTCAAAAGATTAGTGGCTAATAATTAATTAAAATCCTTCTCAAAGTAAACTAAAAACCATATATGAAGCGTCTACAGGTGAGCATAGATTGTGCTCCAGTTAGCAAGCTCACATCTGAAAGCATGTCAAAAAAGTCTTTCAAAGCTCGAACCTGAAAATATATCAACCAAGAAATTAAAATAAGAGGATTAATATTAAAAAACAAAACTATAATATGAAACATCAAGTTAGAAAGAAATATGAATAAGAGATGATAGAAGTGGAATTAAGTCATCATAGTCACTCACCTCCTGAGCTGCTTTTGTATCCTTTATCAAGTTCATAACACCAGGGGCATCCAAAACCTCTTTCAAGCTATGCCTACAATGAAACAAGCACAAAATTTTAAGCTATTATACAAAATATTGAAAGAGTGATGTGAGCGTAGAGTATTCCACAGACTATTTTCAGGATTCTCAAAATTCTAGAATAATTATCACATCGAGATCAATGTGATTGATACAAATGCATCCTCACCTTTGATATTCATGGTAGGCATGTGTATCCATTACAATTATGACCGTCAACAAAGTTTTTCATTCATAAATAGCTTGTGTTCGGCTCACTAAGTAGCTTGTGTTCGATTCTTTCGTTAGGCAAATGAGCCAAATACGATTTTTTTTTTTTTAGCTTGTTTTATAGGAGCCAAACATAAACAAACCTTTGTTCAAACATTTTTGGCACATTTTGGATTGAATTAATTAAATAATAATAATTAAATATTATAATTTTTTATATTAATTTTTTTGTTGTATTTCAAAATGCATTTCAAAATTTATTACTTTTAAATCATTTGAGCTAAACTCGAGCCGAACACGAGATAAAAAAACAAATGAATTAAAATTGAGTTGAACTCGAATATAATACTCGAGTCATTTTGAACATGAGCCAATTTCAAAGAGAAATTCGAACAAGCAAATACAAACAAGCACTCAGCTCGCTAAAACTCATCTCGCGTGCACACCTAATTACAATTAAACACCTTGTTTACAACTAGTATCATTATGCTTTGGTTCATCTATCTTGTTCCTATATATGACTGATCAAAATTCCTGCAATTTCATTGCTATTAGTATTTGCTACTCAATTTTACTATTTCAATTTGAATGGTTGAAGATGACAGTCTCTTGAAGGATACCAAATTCATACCACATACATAAACTTCATAATTTTAGCCATAAAAAACGGTTAACTTGGATTATGCATATCAATATGCTTTTGGCATTCCCACTCTCTTATCATGAAGAGTTACATTCATGCATATTTTAACTTTAAAATACTTTGGCGTCTCATTAATATATTCATACACCTTCAATGAAAGCATCCTCTTCATCTAACACCCAACCCCACCCTACCCCCTACACGCGCACACTCTTCCTTAGAAGGTTTAACCATATATGCTTTGAGGATAGGTTAGAGTTCGGTATTCTTTTTAAAACGGAAAAATAGCTTGTTGATCAACCCCAAGCTCTATTATATATATATATTATATATATACATATTTTTTTATATATAGAATGGCGGACGACTGCTCTGCTAGGGTTTCGAATAGCGATCACCATTGATTATGTCGCTCGACCTTTTTGCTTCGTCGGCTCCCCCCCCGCCCCCCGTCTGCTCCACGAGTCTGCTCGGCGTTCGTCTTCTCTCTGCTAGACGAGTCTGCTCGGCGTCTCTCGCTCGGGGTTCGTCTGCTCGACGAGTCTCGAAGCTTCGCGTTCTCGTTCTGCTCATGAAGCTTCTCACTGTTCCTGTCGCAACAACTTTGATGTAGCTTAAATCCGACAGCTCTCCTTGCTCTGATGGCGCCTCCTTCTCGTTTGGTTGAGCCGGACAAAGTCTCATTTGCTCACGTGGTGGGTAACCCTCAGGTAGAGTCCGGAGTGGGATTCCCCTCAAGTTATAAGGAATCTCGTGATGGTACAGATGATTGTTCTTTTATTAAAAGGGAATCAGGAAAGAAGGAAAAGATGCAATCTTTTTTCTCTGAAACAGAAATTTTTACCCTGACGGAAAAATTCAAGTTTGCTCTTATTGAAAAATTTCAGTGGGGACACCCTCTTATGGAGATTATCAGAAAAAGTGTTGATGATCTTAAGCTAATAGGCAAGTGGAAAGTGGGAGCAACTTAAGCTAATAGGCAAGTGGAAAGTGGGACTCATTGATAGGAAACATGTGTTGATCTAACTAACAGTGGCTAAAGACCACCAGAATTTTCTCCAAGAAATATCTTAATATCGAAGGCAAATCAATGAAGTTACTCAAGTAGTCTCCTAATTTCGACCCAAATCATGAAACTCCCACTGTACCGGTATGGTTTAATTTACCTGGTCTCAAGTTGCATTTTTTTCACCATCAGGTTCTCTACTCTATTGGGGTCATCCTTGGGGATCCTTTAAAACTAGATCTGCCCACTTTCAACCTAACTAGACCCTCGGTGGCCAGAATACTTGTGGAAAGAGATATTATTTTACTAGATGTTACCGAAGTCTGGTTGGGCACAACCCATAATGGTTATTAGCAACAAATCATCATGGAACACAAACCCCCATATTGTACTCACTGTAAGATGTTTGGTCATATCCTTGTTAAATGCCACAAATTTCATCATAATTTGAAATCTAAGGGTCAAGTGAATAAGGATGGGTTTAACCCCACTGCTGTGTACATTTTAGTTCCACCTGAGGATGATACTACCAGACAGGAGGTGTCTGTTGCACCTGAGGACCCCCCATGACACTGTTGTTACTGTTACTGCGAGTGATGCGATGCTGGCATCTACAAACTCCATACAAAACATATTTGATGGACTATTTCCTATAAATGATAGTGTTCAGACTGATAATCAGGAGAACCTCAAAGCTCCACTTCTTCAAGAAGTAACCGGTGTAACGGCAACTCACACTTCTCATATCGTAGAACCTATTGTGGGCACTACTGTTCCTTCTGGTTCAGCTCTACCTCATCAGGCGGATTCTTCGGAGGAGGAATGACAGGTTTACACTTCCAGAAGGAATAAGAAGAATGGAGATCTACTAGAGCTCGGGAGTCTTATGGATTATATTTTGGTTACTACGGGTAATGGTCAGCACCTTACCAATCTGCTAGTTGAATCACTAATGAGAACTAGAGCCAGAGGCAAGACTAGATTGGGATGACCCACACTTTTTCAGTGCCCATGTGGTTTTTGGGTTTCTTTTTATTTCTATATGTACCCATCTTTTACATTTTTTGGTGTCTGTTGTGCCGTGTGGGTTGGGTGTTTATATATATTGAAAAAGCCGAAGGGCTGATATATTAAAGATAAAGATACAGATAGGTTTGTATGGGTGGGCCTAAACACCCAACCCACACGGTACAACAGACACCAAAAAATGTAAAAGATGGCAGCAAGTGTTATTCCAAATAAAACTTTTACAATTCATCCTCCACACGCTTCTTTCTTCTCTTAACCAAAAATATCAAGCCAGCTTGGAAAGAAGCAAACATCCTTGGAACAAACTCTCTCTCCTTTTCAGGACTCCTATCCTCTTCCCATGCGGATCTCTTTCTTGACTTCTTTTCATTCCATACATAAATTATTTGGGTAGAAGAGAACTAGATATTACACAAAAATTACACTTGTTTGAAATTACACAAAAAGTTAATGTTTGGATTATCAAAAGTCACAGTCCGTCATTTCTATTTGTTCATGGTACACATTGGCATTATCGCTCTCAATAATGACTCCAAGACATTACGCCATCCAATCCTCCAAAGGCCATTATAGAAGAGAGATTGTAAGCATTTCCACTTGAGCACTATCCCAATGGAATAGTTTTCGCTCCATGGCCAAAATAAGCTCTCCTTGATCATTTTGAATGATGATTCCAATGCCATCCAACCCATTCGAAAGCAGTGCACCATCGACAGTCACTTTAATCCATCCTGGGTTTTTTTTTTTTCACGCGCGGGGGGGGGGGGGGGGGGGAGCTGATTAGCACCCCAATGAAGCGGCATAGGATTAGAGTGAGGATCGACAAGTTTCGAGAACATTCGAGGCAATGATAGTGGGTTCTCTTAGCATTCCTTGCTCTCCAACAGAAATAAACCACATTGCAATAGATACGCGCCATAAGAATGGTTGCCTTGCTACAATAAGAAAGCATGCTGATAACCTCCTTGAAGTTTCGGATATTGGGGATGCCAATGCTAAAGTCAGTCAAAAACCATACACAAAACAAATAATTAGAAGAATTATGCAATCCGTTTTCAACACCTAGGCATCCTCAAGGGCATTTATGGGATTTCGTGAGACCTCTCCGTGCGAGCCAAGAGGAAAGATGAGGACAGCCTATTCTGCTGGTTAGCACCCCAGTGCACCGGGATAGGATTAGAGTGAGGATTAGCAAGCCTTTCGAGAACAATTGAGGCAATGATAGTGGGTTCTCTTAGCATTCTTTGCTCTCCAATAGAGATAAACCACATTGTAATAGATACGCGCCATAAGAATGTTTGCCTTGCGCCAACAAAGATAAAGAACATTGTAATAGCATCCTGATAGCTTCGTTGAAGTTTTGGATATTGGGGATGGTAACGCCCAAATGCTAAAGTCTGTCAAAAACTTTACACAAAAACTAACAATTAGAAGAAATATGTGATCTGTTTTGCAAACCTGGGCATCCCCAAGGGCATTGAAGGGATCCCGTGAGACCTCTCCGAGTGAGCCAAGTATTGGTAGGAATAGCCTTGAGACTCAAGTGCCACCAAAAAATCCTCTCCCTTGGTCGTTGTTTGATCTTACCGAGCCACTTGTAGGATTCTTCAAGGTGCCTAAACTTAGCTCTAGAAGTTGTAGCAGTTATCGATTCCCGGATAATTGCTTACAAAATTCCGGAATATCCATGGGATGGTTGCGGTCAATGGGGATTGAGCAAATTACCTTACCCAGCTCTCCAACAAAAAGCTCCTTTAACATCTCGATTTCCATCCATCCTCCTATAAAAATTTTGTCACTTACCTATTTTCACATCCAAAAACATTAAAAAAAGTGGGCCAACTATTCAACGTGCGGTCCCAAACCCAGGCATGAGAAAGAATAATAATCATTTCACCATTTACCACTTTCCACCTGATGATTTTGTTGAACCTAGCAGCTCCATCACAAATTATTCTCCAGGAGTTAGAATTACTACGCTTGAAAACAAAATCGAAAACATTAGTGCCATATTTACTAGCCAAAAATTTATTAAGCACGGTATTGGTTTGTGAGAGGAAATCCCATGCCAATTTAGCTCAAAGAGGCCCTTCCATTGATTCACCGCATGGAGGCCATCTTGGTC